TGACTTTTGGAGGAAGTCTCGTACGAAACGCTCGTCTTGCAGCCTCGAAGCAAGACTTTTGGAGGAAGTCTCGTACGAAACGCTCGCGTGACTGCTTCTAGTGTGTGGGCAGACCGTGTCGCGACACGAGTGTCCCACAAGAGTGTCCCAAAAGAGTGTTCCACAAGAGTGTCCCGCAACCGTGTCCCACAAGAGTGTCTCACAAGAGTGTCCCTTAAGAGTGTCCCACAAGAGTGTCCTATAAGAGTGCCCCACAAGAGTGTCCTACAAGAGTGTCCCACAAGAGTTTCCTACAAGTGTGTCACACAAGAGTGTCCCACAAGAGTGTCCCACAAGAGTGTCCTACAAGAGTGTCCTACAAGAGTGTCCCACAAGAGTGTCCTGTAAGAGTGACCCACAAGAGTGTCCTACAAGAGTGTGTCACAAGACTGTCCCACAAGAATGTCTGACAAGAGTGTCCCATAAGAGTGACCCACAAGAGTGCTTTTGAGAGTGTCCCACAAAGAGTGTCCTACAAGAGTGTCGTGTAAGAGTGACCCACAAGAGTGTCCTACAAGAGTGTCTCGCAAGAGAGTGTCCCATAAGAGTGACACACAAGAGTGCCCCACAAGAGTGTCCCACAAGAGTGTCCCACAAGAGTGCCCCGTAAGAGTGGCCCACAAGAGTGTCCTACAAGAGTGTCCCACAAGAGTGTCCCGCAACAGTGTCCCACAAGAGTGTCCTACAAGAGCGTCCCACAAGAGCTTCCTACAAGAGTGTCCCACAAGAGTTTCCTACTAGAGTGTCCCACAAGAGTGTCCCACAAGAGTGTCCCGCAAGAGTGTCCCACAAGAGTTTCCTACAAGAGTATTCCACAAGAGTGTCCTACAAGAGTGTCATTTGGACATATGTAGCTTGTCGAACGTGTTTGCATTCGGGTTCGTGGGCTCCATCTTGTTTTTCCACGGTTCTTTTCCTGTGCTACAGGGTGCTTAGGCGAACATCCTTCGTAAGTCTTGTGACTTTGAAGGGCACGGCTCTTTGAGCCTTCTGTTCATGAGGACCTTGCCGTCGAGGATGCGGTTCCTGGCTCCACACCTGGAGCACTCTGCAGCATTGCCTTGAAGCTGCATGGTGTGAGAGGAGTGTCCATCCCACATCAAGGGCGGAAGTGGACCGCTGTTGCAAACCTGGCCCACGAACTCCTCAAAGGTCTGTTGGTTTGACCTTGCTAAAATGTGGCGTTTGCAAAGGTCACAGCGTAAGTACGCTTTGTCTAAGCGCAGGAAGTGCACTCCCGACTGGGGCTTGTCCTGGCTGTCGATGAGCTGCTTGATCACCTCCATGCGGGGAGTTCTGGCGATCTTCTGCTGGGTCGGGTTTTGGCACTCCGAGCCCATGGCCGTTTTGATCTCCTGGATCATACTCTTCGAGTGGATCCTGGTCTTGCATCGGCTGCAAATGGCCCCGGATCGATGGATCTCCCATTGGTGTCCTCCTCGTTCCGGCTCTCGAAGCAGAGCGGCAATGAGCTCCTTCTTTTGTTGGAGGAGTGGTGTTCTGACCTCCTGGGAGATTTGGGTGGGCTTCCTCAGAAAGTGATCTTGATCTCTGAGGATGTGATCAACTCTTTCAGCAGCCACTGTCAAGATGTCTGCAAGGTCCTCATCGATGGCCTTTTGGTACGAGAGGAAGTCTTTGGGGGCTTCAGCTTTGGCCCGCTCTTGTGCAATGCGCTTGATGGATTTCTGCAACTGTTTCCTTGTTTTCATGCCCTCCTCCTGCTGCAAGTGGGAGAGGAACAGCAACGGTCGGACTTGGTCAAAGTCTTCAAACTCCAGGCCATGGTAAAGGTCAGGAAAGCGTTCCAGAGCTACGTGTGGTGTCCATGCCTTCCAGACTTGAAGGTTGGAGATGCCCACACGCGTTGCATCCAAGAGGTGCATTGCCAATTGCTTGAGAGCAAAGAAAGTGGCTCGTGTCCTGGTGGTTTCACCTGGACAGATGCCCGAGATGGAGGCTATGCACTCTTTGGTGGCAATCTCAAAGATCCCAATGGCAAAGATGTACTGCTGATGGCGGATGTCTGCACATGTGGCCGCAATGTCAAGACAGCAAGCATGACCATGATCAATGTGACATGGTTGCAAGTTGTGCCACTTACCACTGCCAATGAAGGTGGAAGGTCCTCCATGCCTCTCACGAAAGGGAACCTGCGAGAGACCGCGGTTCCAGATCTCTGGCTCAATGTTTTGGCTGATGCGGTCTTTCCATTCGTACGGGATGTCCTTGACTCTTCCATGCCAGTACGAACACTCCCAAATAAGATGGACCGTCGAGAGCTCGACACCACAGAGAGGGCATTGTCCCTTGAAGCCATGAAGAGTGCCTTGATGGAAGGCTCTCAAAGCACAGGCCAGTCGGTCACTGGTGGTGCGCTGCAGTTTGAGGCTCATGGTCCAATCTAAGGGTTGTTCCAAGTGTTCACAGCCATTGTACTTGGTGATCCGGATGAGGCGTTGCCGTTTGAACTCCTGTTGCAACTTCATTTCCAGTTCGGGCCACAGCAGATCTAAAGAAAGAGTGCAATCCGGAATGGCCCCGTAGCCAGCTCGGTGCCATTGACGCCCATCCTGAAGGTCAAAACCAAGATCCAGCATGTAGGCTTGCATGGCTTGGAGAGGGCCTGTGACGACTTGCCAAGGGTATTTCGCCTTGTTCAAAGGTGCCAGAGCCAAGTTCCAGCTGGAGTTGAAGAGGTGTCTTTTGCTATCGTCAAAGCTGTGGTACAACTTCCGGATGGTGTGGACATGCTGTAGGATGACGACATCCCCAGGGTCTGGGTGCTTCTTGTTCATGTCAAACACGATGTCGACTGATCCTGACTTTTGGAGCTTGAGGCCTCTGGCTGCCATCACTCGAAGTTGATGTCGGCGCTGTGGAGCTAGCCCGTTTGCCTGAGCCCCCCAGGTCATTACCGGGTGTATCGCACCACGATGCAATCTGTATCTCACTGATGAGTTCAGCTTGAGGCGGTGCATGATGCCTGCTCGGGCTCTGCCTTTGGTGAACCTCTTTCTGACCTGTGGCACCCTTCTCCTTTTTGCAGCAGTGGCGTCAATGCCGAGGTCTCTGAAGACGTCGTAGTGCTCAGGATCACCTGGTTGAAGAATGGCTTTCAAGGCAGTTGCTGTCTCCTTGGAGCTGGTGATGAATCCAGTCTTGTCGGTGTTGAGCTTGAGACCCGCTTCAGTGAGAGCTGCATGGAGGCATCGGTAAGACTGCAGAGCCTCTTGAGCAACATATGTGGGATCTCTGCCTCGGACATCAAAAGACACATCATCCACCCATGTCTGAAGAAGGGCCGCAGGATGCTGTCGTTGGAGTGCTGAAAGTGGTTTGTAGAGCACCAACTTGGCAATGGCCGGAGCTTGAGGGCATCCTTGCAAGATGCCCTTGCGGTAGTGCTGCGGGTCGGTGGCGATTCCTTCCGCTTGGATGACTCGGGGCCCTCGGTAAAGATCGATGGCCATCTTCAGGTGCAGCAAGGGGTATTCAAGTTCTCTGGTCCACCGTCAGGAGGCAAGTGACAGTGTGGATGTCATTGTGTTTGCCTAGCTCTGACTGAAGCATCCTTCCAACAGCAATCGAAAGGCAGTCCTTCTTGGGTCGTGCATGATCCCAAGGCATGGCTGTGTCGAGGGAGAGCTGCCAGTTGACAATGTCCTGCTTGCGGATTCGATTCCAGAGTCTGTAGAGGCATGACGTCAAGGCGATGGGCCTTTCGACTTTGAGACTCTTTGGCATCATCACGATGTTGACCATCCGCATTTGCGCAGGGAGGAGAGCTTCTTGCTCCATTTGATTGAGCAAGTTGGCGAGCTGAGCGATTGCCTCAAAAGTAATTGTTTGAGGAAGTCGTAGGAAACCCCATCAGGACCAGAAGCCTTGTGAGGCAGCTTCTTGATCACCCTCTGGAGGCTGAGCGGATTGATGGGTTGCAGAGTATGTGCCTGTTGTATGGCATCCTCTCTCAACTCCCGAAAGCCATGGATGTGACAAGGCTCATCGACTGGCACCCAGATTGCTCCCCACTGAGCTCTTCTTGAAGACGTTCTTGTAAAGGAAGATCTTGGAATGGGGTCTTTGCCACGGGATGTCTTTTTGTCGAAGGCTGCGGAAAAGGCCACGAAGGCCTTTGGTGTGGGCTTGAGCAAGCAAAGTCTTGTACTCTGCTGAGTTGGCGAGGGCCAATCCGATGTGGGCTTGATGTTCTTGGGCCATGACAATGTCTTGTAGGCCTTGAGGATCATCGTGTGTGTTCTCAAGCCATTGCTGCAGAGACGCTCGGAAAGCTTCATGATCAAGTTCATCAGAAGCGTGTTCAGCCAAACTTGGGAGCATGCTGAGCAGGTCTTGTTTGACTGCTTCATGGGCGTTGTGGTGCAAGACGCTTATCCGGACAGACAACTTCTCCCAGAAGGCTGGTGTCCCTTTCTTCCACAACTGAGCTGGGTGAGGGCCTGCCAAAGGACCATTGAAGAAGTCAACTTGGGAGCCCCTCCCTCTTCGTGGTTGCTGGATCTGTTGAGTGAGGTAGCTTTCGGATTTGGCACACCACCTGGCAAGATCAGAGCCGAGGCCAGTGATCTGGTAGTTGAGGATGTAGAAGGGCCCGTTGGGTTCCTGGAACTCGGACCAGCCATAATGAGGATTGAGAGCTCTTCCAATGGAGGGAAGGCCCGGATCTGTTGAACCTGAATGGCAAGGTGGTCCGTGTGGTATCTGAGGTTCAAGGCACAATGCGGTTTCCACGGAACTTCCCACACAAGGTCCAGGTCTAAAGCTCCATGTAAGGAGTTGGAGACAAGGAAGTAGTCAATGTCACTGCCCTGTAGTGTCGTAGGCCCATCTCCGCTAAGGATGCGAGCTTTGAACTTGCTCTGCGCAACCATGGCAGCCAGTTCACTGGGCGGATTTTGACAGTCACCCCCAATGATGAAGGGAGCTTTGAGAATCTCAAGGAAGACGAAAAGATTGCTGAGGATCTCCGCATTCAAGGGTGATTGCAGGCTCTCTCCAGTCCTCAGGTACAGTTGTACGATGGCCATGTGGAGTCCTTCCCGTTGATAACCCACTGCCATCCAGCCGTTGCCTTCTTTGCAGAAGTGTTGCAAGCTGTGGACATGATGATGAGGTGGATGAAGGCATAAGAATCCTCCAGTGTTACCACCTCTCCCGGTGGCCATGGCAGGAACACCAAGGGCTCTCCATCCTCGGATGATGAAGTATTGCATGGTCTCTTGTAACTTGGCCTCTGACAAGTGCGTTTCCTGCAGGAAGATCAGGTGATCCGCTTTCGACCAAACCCAGTCCTGGACTTTCTTGCCAAAGGAAGTGACATTGGCGAAACAGAGCAAGACGTCATCATAGTGTGTTTTGGTCTTCTTGGTTGCCGGTTGTGAGATGAGGATGTCATCCGAGTCATCTTGCATAGGGTCATGTACCAGCCAGACCTGCAGTACTTCAGTTTCTTGTTGATCCGTGAGTCCTCCAATAGGTTGAGGGAATTGGTTGTCGTCGACACTCCAGAAAACATTGTCTAGAGCATGAATGGCCGTGAAGTGACCACTGTGATGAGACTCCCCATGGTGCAAGATCATGGCCACTACCTTGTAGCCAGCATTGGAGACTGTGACCAATGTTGAGGATCGTCGGAATCTCCACCGATCTATGGTGCTTGGTCCAACTGCCCTCAAGACACTGAAACCTTTGGATGTGGAAGATCACGCAGTTGGGAGCCCCGTACAAATATTGGCCCTCATCTTCATTGGCCCATTGATTGACCAGTTCATCCAAGGTGATTTTGGCATCTCCTGGTGGGCAGATGAGATTGATCGGGACTTGCTCACGCTCTTCTAAGATGCCATTGCTCTTGAGGTGGAAGAATTTGCCCCCAATGTTCTGGGGGGCGGCCGTGGTGTAGAGATGGCCAACAAAGTCACCAACATCCGCTTGCTGTTGATCATCGAAGTGACGTGCCCAAACGTCCAAAAGTTCATGAATTTGGGTCAAGAAGCACGGTCTTGACGAGGAGAGAAAGGCTCTGAAGGCCCGATGGAGCCTAAGTCTGGGTGGGCTCCATGGAGAAGCAGCTCAGCCAGCTCCAGCATCTGAAGGCTGAGTTGGCAAAGCAAAGGTTCCCATCATTAGCAGCTATGCTGGTGAGGTTCTGGGCAATCAGACCGGAGTTGGCCTGACTGAAGGGAGGACCTCCTTGTATGCCTTGTTGCTTGTACACCAATCTCTCCATTCTTTGCAAGTCGGCCAAGAGCTGCTGCCCGTGATCCTGAGTAGGAGCTCGGAGGTACTCTCGACATGATTCTTGAAGATCTTGATGTCCTTTTTGAAGGAGGTGTTCATGGACTTTATCATGATGCTCAAGTTCAGTGTCCATGTCTTGGAGGATGTGGGCCAGAGCTTGGAAACCTGAGGTCCCAGATAAAGCACCACCCTTGGGGGCAGGCTCAGGAGTAGAAGAGCTCGGTGCCTCTGGTTCCAGCAATGGGCCCCCTCCTCCTTTGACTTTGACGGTAGAAGGCCGCCAAGGTCCATAGGAAGCCGTAGGGGCTCGTGCAGTGAAGCTTGAGCCCAAACTGTATTGGTTGGTGAGGTCAAGAAACTTCTCATTTCCCCTGCAACTTTGTTGACCTGTGCCCCTGTCCATGTGTGTACATGGTGAAAACCCCGAAGTGTCAAAGGAAGCTTGAAACAAATCGTGCTGCAAAGCCTCAATGGCCTGGTTACCCACATGACTGTGATTTCTCTGCTTCAACAAGCTTGCGTCGCTTGGCATCATCTTCATTGGTGACTGTGGGCATCGATTTGAGCTGGTCCTGCTGCTCTTGTGTGAGACTGACTCCAAGAGTGCTGATGAAACCAGCTACAGCTTCTGGTACTGGGTCCTTCATTTCAGCATCTTCAACTAGGTGCACGGGATCTGGCTGTTTGCTGACTAAGGTCATGTAGGCCGCGCTGGTGTTGTTGAGCTCGGCTTGTTCCTGTTCGATCTTGGTCTGGATGAGTTTCATCTCGTTCAACAGGTCCTGAAAGGCCTTCTTGGTGGCATCAATCTTGGACTGCAAGTGTTGCTTCCGGTGCGAGAGATCCCTCAAGCTGGAGACCTGCTGCTTGAGCTTGTTGGCCACGTCCTTCTCGGTGGGCGGTTGTGGCTTGGTGATCTTCTCAACCAGCTCCTTCACTGGAGCAGGAAGTTGCGCCAGGTTGTCTCTGAGCACATCTTGCAGGTCTGGCTCAGGAGAAGGAGGCGGTGGCGAGATGCCAAGCTCAGTAAGCTTCTGTTGTAGATCCGAGTCGAACTTGTCCCATGAGGATGCCAACAGCTCTCCGGTGAGTTTCTGTACCTTGCTCGGTCTGTTAGTGTTCTTCCACAGGCCTGGAGGAGGCGTGACACTACGAGAGTTCTTCCACCTGGCAACTTTAGGAGGTGGGGATCTCGGAGCATAGCCTTGTGGAGGTTTCGGCCAGGAGGTGCCACATTGCCGGCAGACTGTTCCTTACACGATCCTGCCAGATCCAGTTGTGACAGGTGCTGGTCTGACAGACCTGGTATCCCCGGCACCACCTGGATGGACTGGAAGGAGTCATGGCAACAGGTTCGTGTAGTCACCTTCAAGCACGAGGGTGAAATTGCCGGTGCCTTTCACGAACTGGCCGAAGATGGTCACAGTGAAGTAGGGTCCCGTCGAGCTTAGCCCAGTGTGCAATGCACACCGCGGCTTGATGCTGAAATGGCTTGAGCCACCCATATCCAGATCTCTAGATATACAAAAAAAAAATATATATATATATGTATATCCATTGATGCCATCCTGTTCAATGGACAGCTGGGTGAGGAGGTCTGACTCGGAGAACGAACGTCTGAGGAGGTCTACCGTAGCAGCTCAGTCCGCATCACGGTTCCGTGGAAACAAGACATCTCAATCGGCCTCCACAGGACCGAACGAGCCGTTCGTGACCGAACGAACGAGTTCCCAGTGGCGGGGCGGGAGACCGAACGGCGTCCCGAGGCTTCTTGAGGTCATGGAATTATACAGACTCCGAGGTCACGAACAGCTCAGGTCCTGGTCGAAGATCCTGTTCCACCGACGGAGTTTCTTCAGCTTCCCACTGTGGTGTCTTCCGATGTTCGGCACCATCGGCTTCAGCCGGTGTGGCGCCACTCCACTCGCTTCAAGGTTTCGGGCCAATCTTGAGGGTTTCGGGTAGGTGTTCTTAAGATCTGACAAAATCCACGAACCTCGCAAGGCGGAAAGACTGAGAAGAGGAGAAAAACAACGATCCTGGACTGGAGAAGTGTTCATTTGTGTGTGTTTTTTTTGCGTGTTGTTTGTTATTTTAAGACCAACATTTATAGAATTTGTGCGATGTAATGTATATGTGTTTATTTGTGGGTGGATTTGTGTCAGTGCACTGCCAGATTTCAGCTTTGGATTTTGTATGCTCAGGTGTGACGACATCTTGGCCAAGGAAGAATCATTTGCTGATGAGTTGTGTTTTAAGATGTTTCAATTTGTGTTTTAATTTGTTATTTTTGAATATTGTTGATCGTATTTATACAGAGGATAGCCAGTGTGAACATGTCAACAGGGCCAACCAGCAAGTCTTCTTTAGTCACAGGCCACAGCCAACTTGACACCTTATGAAAATAGGGCTGATTCCAGAGTTTCTCGCGGTGAATAAACCCTGTTGGTTATGTGATGTGTTGTTTCAAGAAAAGACCTCTATACAATGCATGGGATGACTTTGAACTGTTTGGCGAAACATGTGCCTTGGGCTATCCACCATCATCCTGTGCTTGGCAGGTAATGGACTCCTTCAACTATCACTATACTAGATTCTAGATTAACGTAAAATAACTATAACTATAATACTAGATTCTAGATTTGACATCTGATTTGAGTGCATATGAATCACAGCTCCATGTTTGACACCTGTTGCATCGTTTTGCTTTACAGGATATCTTGGTCGTTTGGTCGTTTGACCATCAAGTCTGGGACCCTTTGGCCATCTCTGGCTTCCTATCCGAGAATTCTGTCCACTTTCCAGAAGTTCAGCATGGCTCCGAGAGCTGGAGAAGCTCCGAGAGCTGGACGTGTTTCGAGGTTTCTGTTGGAGGCGGCGATGTTTCGGCTCCCCTACGTTCGGTTCCTCGAAGACCTCGTGCGGTTTTTGTGGTTTTGATCCTGGGTATCTGGGTATCTGATGGTATCTGGGTATCGTCCACCTACAAATATATCCAAAAACACTATCCTATAGACTCTCCCTGTACCAACCAATGCTCAGCCCACCTAGAAAGAGCTACCACTGCGGGCCATGCGCAGAGGGAAGAAAGCGGAGCCATGCTGTCTAATTACGCGTAGAGGGGAATGGCATGCCAGTCGTGGGGAAGCCTACCACCTTTATGACAGCCCTGCCATATGAGACTGGGGGAGATCTGGAGGTGTCACCATGTAATCCCATGTCCTTCATGGTGTTTTTTTCTTGCAAGTCACCAAGTAGAAGAGTGACCTTGAATGCTTCTGTTCCACAAGGAGATAATCACCCTCTGTCTAAGTCTGGCAGCGTTCTGCCTTCATGTTTATTAATCTTTACGTGCGATGCAGGCCCAGGATCCGATGTGTCTTGGCCACTCCTTAGCATCAGCCGGCAGCTCAATCCCTGTCAAGCCTACATATTTTTATGACCAGTCTGGGTGTGGCTCGAAGATCTTCAATGAAAAAAAGGCACAATGGGATCCATTCAATGGGAGAGGCTCCAGGTCATGACCATGTTTGTCCTTCTCGGACACTTCATCAGGTGAACAGCTTTCAGCAACATTGACTCAGAAGTGTATCATATTCTGCCACACCTGGCTCTTCTCATGGACGGTACTTTCAAAGCTACATGATGGCGCATGCATTTGATCGTAAGATTTCAAGCAGGCATGGGCCAAACAGTAAGACAAGCTGTTTATATATGCTCAGCAAGACAAGTGCTTTATATGTTCAGTCATCCATCCAATGGATTTCGTCTATCGCACAGCGGCCCAAGATCTGTTGCGCCCGCAGCACTTTTTTTTCAGGTGGATTTGCTCAATAGCTTGTCCCTACTGAAGTTGTGTCATCACAAAAGGCTTCCACTTATTGTTTGCGGCTCTCATCGGGGATTTTTTCAGTACAGACTATTATGGAATGTTGTTGATGTCCAGGGTTTGACCAGTCATTGCACTTCTTCGTTTGGGCAGCACATTGCAGAATGAGTGATGGCAAATCTCAAGCAGTTTGACCACCCGAGATGGGGAAAAAAGCATGGACCATGCACCCATGACCACCCCAGGTCTTGGATTTCTTCCGTCCAGATCCGGTCTGGAAAACGTGCGTTGATGAAGGACAAAAAACAGGTGGACCTCGTGCATTCGGGGGTCCAACATGCGGGGGCCTTCGCGTGTTATGCACGGTGTCGCGTGCGGATTGCGCGCTGCGCGGTTTCCGTGCGTCAAGAGCCTGGTGTCGAGTAGGTCGGCTGGGTCTGGCTTCATTGGACACATCATCGGGGTCGACCTGCGGGGTGAACACCACCTTGGTAGTTTGACAGAACCCCCCGGGATCCATGGAGATCCAGCGGTTCTTTCTCTGGAAAACTGCCAATCCGAGGTTGGAAATTCAGGTCAAGAACCACCTCACAGCGTCCCCAATGATTTTAGCCAACTTGTCTTCTTTTTCCACGGGCCACACATGACTATGATGTTTGTTTGGCAGTCTTTGGAGGGGGGACCACCTACCTTGGCCTACGGGTCTTTCAGATGCGGAAGGGAGTGTATTCTCTGGAAATAACCATGGAAGTGGATGGCACCAGCTGTTTGGTCTTCGGAACATGGGCATCCGATTCTAAACCCGCGTAGTTTGCCATCCACGTGATGATTTCAACGAGTGTGGCCAGGTAGCAACAGAAGGTTTCCAACCTGGCTAGGTCAAGAGGCTTTCCCAAATCACCATGAAGAAAAGAAACAACAAGAAGACCTCGTTGTTTATTTGTGTCGCATTACCAGTCTCCTTGGAAAGAGGTCTTGACTGACCAGTTGCTCCTTCCGGGCTCCGCTTCGCCAGGTCACGTCGCCCCCGTGGCTCTCCCGCCGCAACGCGCGTCCGGTCAACAACGCCACGTCAGGGCGAACGAGCGGCGCGGAAGCGGCACGGTGAATCGGAGCGACAGGTCGCCTGGAAGTGGGCCGCCTGGTGCGCTAGGATGTGCAAGGATGTGACTGTGCAAGGAGATTGGCCAGTGCCACACACTGGCAACATGTGGGTTCCCATCATTCTGGACTGTTGATCCGAGACACGCAGACATGCTGGCACAGAGGGGCGACTGCAACACTGCATGTATGACATATGTATGGCATATTTACCTACATTGACCCTGAAACCACCCCAATGTAGATGGCCCGCCAACAACAGCCCATGGTGTTTTGATGTGTTTTGTGCGTGTTTCGGACATGTTTCTGGATATATCAGGTTGGGTTTCGTAACATGTTCATCAGTTCACAACATTGTCATGGATGTACGGATGGATGCTAGTCATCGATTGGTCGCGTGTTTGGGATGGGGCTGTCGGCCAATAGCTTCTAGAAATCATAAGTATGTGCTGTAGCACCGGCAACCCCAAATGAGTTCTCAACTTTCAATACGTTGCTGAATGCACACGGAGCCTGAAAGAATTAAAAAAGTATGAGAAGGAGCAGTGTTCGCAGCTGTCCTTTTCACACCTGATGCAAACCACCATTTCTGAAATGCATCCCCCCAAGGGAGTTACTTGATGACATACTCTCCGGGTTTTTACGTGTCCCCGTAAACGCTGACCTCTATTTTTGTTTAAGCAGAAGTTGATCTGCAAGATGATCCGACGCATCGGCAGGACATGTTAGCGATTCCAAAGCTGTTTCAGGAAAAATGAGTTTTCTTTGGAGAGGTGAGCGGCCTCAAGGATGCTGAGCTTGCCCTTTGATTCGGGCAATCTAAAATCTGGGTGGCAAAAAACCTTGGCCTGGGATGCTGAGCTTTGGCAAATGAACAGCCTTTCCACTTAGCTCTCCCAGAGAAAAAAAACTAAATAAAACAACACTGCCACTCGTTGTGCTTTCAGAAATCACAGCACATGCACCAAGCATAACGACCAGAGGGGAAGGACTAGACCAGAACTGTTTGCCAATGCTTTGGCGTTTTGGTGGACATGTTTGAGTGGACAATGCTAACATGTCCGTTCATGAATTTCAGCAAGCTTGAGTCTTTTTTCAAAAACCATGCTAACATAGCCCGTGGCGAAAGTCAACATGCAGTTTGTCATGGGACAGGTTAGCAGGTTGTTCAATGTGTTTTGGTCACTGTAAACATAATTGTATGAAGCCTTTTTTCCCGGTCATTCCCGGGCGAATGCCGCACCATGGCTGAACATGTTAGCCACTAAAAGGCATCCCAAATGCTATCTGGAAGAGTGTAGCACTGACAGATTGAAAAATGATCGTTGCCCGCGACATTAGACATGACTTTTGAAATGTGAATTCTACTGGAAAGTGCACATGACAAATTAACAAATCTTCCCCAGTGGAATTACGTCGTGATGGAAGGTTGCAAATATTGAGTGAGTCTGGGCCAATGATAATGAAAGTACGTACATACAAACACAAACAAACAACTTTGCAGATGAGGAATATCATGTCGTATCACGTCACGGATAGGTCACGTCGCGGTGCACCTAGCTAGAATAGAACCATGCATAGCTGGAATGTCGGTGTCAAGCGTGGCTCATTTAGCATGGCCTACGAAAGCAGCAAAGACAAACCTAAACCCCTTGGCCTCTAAGCGAATGTGGACCTGCGCCATGGCCGTGATCGTGACTGGCTCAAGAGAACACAGGTTTCACCCAAGTAGATCAAGACCAAACCAATTGAAAGCAACGCAACTAAGCCTATATGAAATGATTTCGCTAGGGATTAGTGGTAACTTGGTGGTTCAATGTCTTGGTGTTTCAAGCACTTCCATGACTAAACCTCCCAGAAAGGAACCCCAGCCTGCCCACAATCCGATTGTTTCGCGCCAATTTGTTTGAATTGTGACCATCGAATTCAGGCGTTGACCAACAGTTGCGAGTCCCAGAGCAAAGACTCCTGTTGAAACCTGTGACGGAACTTCTCAAGACTCAATGAACACTTCCCACAAAAAGATTGATTCAACATAGGAGAGTGAAGGCCTCAGAGTGAGAGAGTAGGAATCTTTGAGCCAATCCGATCCACAAATGGACCATGGTTTGGCGCTTTGAGGCAGGGCATTTGTTCGCCAGAAGTTAGCAGAGAATGTGCAAGTACCCAACACAACTAGCAGAGGCAATTGCTCTTCCATGTCCATGCTTCCGTGAAAACGCGGTCTTGTTTGTTTGCATCGTTTGATTTCAGTTCTTTTTGAAGTTATTTGAGGTGTTGCTCTCTTCAGTATTTAATTAATTTGTTTGCCGAAACGTCCAGACATGCTGTTACCAAAGTAACCCAAGCATGCCAAGCCATGTGACACCACCCATGCAGGCAACGATGTTCTTGGTGTTTAGTGTTTTTTCATTTGAACCCCACTATGTTGCATTGGCCTCCAAGCCGGATGAAGTTGAATTGAGCTTGATCAGGATTCAGGAGATCTGGAGGAGGACCGGAAGTCGGTTTCGCATGTCTCGTCCCAGAACGGATCATCGTCTCGTCTCAATGAACGGATCGCTAGCGATGCGATCAGCCGTTTTGAGCAACTTGATGTCATTG